AGTGGGATCACTGGGTCAAATGGCAGTTCCATTTTTAACTTTTTGCGGAAACTCCATACTGTCTTCATAGTGGCTGCACCAGCAGTGCACGAGTGTTCCCTTTTCTCCGCATACTCTCCAGCACTTGTCATTTGTGGATTTGTTGATGATAGCCATTCTGGCAGGTGTGAGATGGTACCTCATTGTTATTTTGAAGGGTTACTTTTTTATATGTACCAATCAATAGATTTTCAAATGCACACCATGTCCGGGGGAGGTTGGCTAGATACCCCAAAAGCCATCTTATGCATAAAGAACTATTGTCATTGGTCTGTCCATTTGTCCAAAACCAACTTTCTTTCAGCCCAGGAAGAACCGCTGAGCCAGGTTGGTATCTTGAGATTGGTTCCTATTTAAAACAAATTGGATTTTAAGATTTGAAACACATTTTAACAGAATTTTGGATTTGAATACATTGATTTGCACATGCAATTGTACTTAATTTGAATGTAATAAATAATTAACTCAAGAGTCTGTATTTGAACTCTGGGCTGTAACAGCAGTTTTTAATTTCCAGGCAGTCAGTGAGTTATGATAAACTCCATCAGCTGTTGCTCACTGCTTTTTCCCAGCATACACTTCCCTTCTGTATGCCGGTGTCACTCTTAGCTGTGTTGGCTTGATTTTTCAACAGCTGGTGCCAGCTTTTTCACCAAAACCACCTGAGCAACGCTGTGGTTTTTGTACTGCGGGGACTGAGTCAGCTACACATTTCCTGGTTCTACTTGGAGTTTGGATTTCTCTGAAAGGCATTCAGACATGTGAGTTAACAAAACTTTATACTGAATCAGGTCCTCCCACCCAGGCATTAGTGCACAGGTCCCCAACCATTGCTCCCGGGCGACCTGATTGGAAAAGTGAAAGGGTTGTGGAAAATGAAAGAGACTAAGATGCAGAAATCTCATCTGGAGGTTGGGTTTGTCTATGATAATCTAGGCAAAACTTTTATTCCCAGATTGCAGTCTATAATTCCCAGGTTGATTTTGACTTATTTTATTTGGGCTGTGGTGTTTTCAAAAATTGTAAAATTTATGTAAAATCTGAATCTCTTGACAAAATCACAAGATTGGGCCCCTTAGAACAGTGCCTGGAGCTGAATAGCAGCTGTCATCTTCACAGGAGACATGTGCTCTCCGTTCTCCCACAGCTTCCACCAGTTTCTATTGGACTGGCTCACGTATTGGCCCCTGAGGGCACTTCAGTTAGTGAACCCTAGTTTAATCTCCTTGGGTGTCCATTTTCTTTTGTGCTTCATTTCTTGAACACTACCTGTGTGCTCAGCCTACATTAATTATGCTGCATGCGTCATCTTTAGTTCTCACAGTGGTCCTGTAAGAGAGAGATATTTTATTCCCATCTTATACATAGAGAAACTTCCCCAAATTATAGCGTGTGGAGCTGGAATTGCAGCTGGGGAGCCGGTGGCTGGAGCTCTCAGCCACTTGGCTTTGCAGTGTCATCTGCTCTAACCTACGTGGCGTGCTGTCCGCTGCAGTAACAGACTTGGGAGTGCTTTGGAAACATAAGGGACTTTTTAAAGTCAGACATTTCTGTAGTGTGTGTCTTATTTGCAACACGTAATCAAAGAAGCTAAGAAAATTTCTGGGGTGGGATGAATGTAACTTCAGCTACCTCATTACTTTACACATGAAGAAAGCAGTCCTCCTTTTACAATGCAAGCAGTTAGGTCCAGACCTTCTCTAGCACTGAGCTGACAATGAATGAAAGACCAGGTTTTATGGTATTTTAACTGCTTTCAAGTATTGTTGTAAAAACCCGTTACGTTATTTGCAGAAATTCCGCTTGCCTTTTCCATCATCTGATTTTCTAGCTGATATCATTGGACTGCAGAAGAAACGAACAACTGGGGATCTGTCCAAGAAAATCACAGGTATGGCGGTGACTCTGGTTTGATCTGTTCATTCTAGAAGGTATTGAGTAGATTTATCAGTCATTTTTATTCCTGCAAGCACCAAAGCTAACCTCTAACTAATTAAGCAGGAAGCAATTTTTTAAAGGGAAAAATAGGCAATATCCAGGGAGATTAGACAACAGAAATCACAGCTAGCATTTCATGCCTCAGAGCCATCTGGCTATGTTAGAGTTCAGGCTTTCTCTGGTGATCACTGGCCTTGGACTCTTAGGAATTACTGTGAATACTTTTTAAACTGTCACTGGGTCTTTGTACTTCCAAGTGCACAGATGGGACTGACGTAAAGGCCACCTTACGACTAAGGGACACTGTTCCTCTCACAGTGGCGAGTAAGCAGGAGGTTTAGGTGCCGGCCAGCTGAGAGGTACATGTCCATGACAGCAATGCTTTCCAAACTGTGGGCTGTGTCCCATGAGCAAATTAGAGCTAACCTGTTTTGGGGCGGGAAGGAGGTGAGTGGTGGAATAGAATAGAACTTATCAGACTTCATTACACATAGTAAGGTACGTGTTGTTCATTGATGCTCTTTCTGTTTTCCCAAATAGTTGAATAGTTGCACTCAAGTGACGTGGAAAAGCAGTGAGGAATAACCAGTGATTCCTTCCATCTCCTTCAGGACTGTGCTTCCTACCACCCTCTGTCTCCAAGGCACCTAACTTCCTACCTGCCCATTACTTTCCTGCCCAGTAGATGCCCTCCTCTGAATTGGAGCTGTGTTTGCTTGAACTTGAACTGTATTATAAACATTTTTTAGTAAATCACAGAGTAGTCATTATGAGACTCAAAGCTTATGTAAAAATGGCGAGTTGTGAAAGAAAAGATATCAGGAAAAATAAATTTGGTATGACTGCAGATGTTGGGGATGATTGGATAAGGAGGGAATGGTGAGAGATAAGGCTTGAGGGATAGGTTAAAGCCATGTCCTATAGGTGGTAAAGGCCATGGGAAGGACTTTGGAGTTTATTATGTAGACATTGAGGAGTCAGAGTTTATGGCTATTTCGCTGTCTTCTTAAAGATTTTCCTTTGTTTTCTCATCTTAAATAGCAAAGTTGCCAAGGTATCGTCTATAGCAGTGATGGCGAACTCATTTTTTTGGTTGATTTTTCTCTGCTAAAGGCATTTAAATATATAAAATAAATATCAAAAATATAAGTCTTTGTTTTACTATGGTTGCAAATATCAGAAAATTTCTATATGTGACACGGCACCAGAGTTAAGTTAGTGTTTTTCAAAATGCTGACACACGGAGCTCAAAAGGTTTGCCATCACTGGTCTATAGCTCTCTGATCTTCTTTCCAAGATTATATAACACTCTTCTGTGGATAATTCTATATTTTTACTTCTAGGCCTGCTGTCCCAGATTCCAGGCCTGCATTTTTGATAGCCTGCTGGATGTTGCTACTTGGACATTTCTCAATCATAACATAACTAAAAGCATTTTTCTCACCCCTGAATAATAGGCTCCCATCTTCTAATCCCCTTTTCTGTTGGTACCATTTTTCTCTTAAGGCATCAGTATATGCCACTTCCCCTCCCAGGAACTTTCTTTTGTTCCCCATTATGTCTTGAATGATGGCCTAAAGTGCCAACTCTTGAGCCAGACATGCACAGTGGTCTACAATTTACTTTTACACTCTTCTCTCAGCTTTGTTACCTGTGCTGCTCTCCTACACAGATTTTTTGTTTTTCCCCCAAGTGGTCTAGTTACTGTCATACCAACTGTGCTTTGTATATTTCTGTCTTTCCTGGAATGCCTCTTTCTACTTAGGAGACTAGCTTTTTTTGGTTGCAAGGACCAGAAACTCATTCAGGCCACCTTAAGTGAGAGGGGCATTGTTGGAAGGAAACCGGTGCTAGGAAGCCATCAGGAGTCTGAAATGCCTCGAGTGAGGAGCTGCTCGCTATCCCTCTCAGGGCCTGTGTGCGGGGCCAGCTCAGCCAAGGGTTCGGTGAGCCTGAGTGGGGGTGGGCAGCGAAGGATGTAGAAAAGACAGACAGAGAGAATAAGCTGGGTCTAGGTGGATCTCCTGTGCCTGGCTGAGGCCACAGAGAGAGACCCAGAGGCAAGCTGAGCCTTTGTTTTATAGCCAGAGGTAAACAAGGTAGTGGTCATCATAGTTACAATGTTTTTGTGGGTTTCGCTTGTTTTGGCAGCACTTGCTGCATCTCCCTCAGCCCATCAGCTACCCAGATAAAATCTAGGGAGCAGCATAAGGTCAAGCTTAATTATGCTAAGAGGGCTGTGCCCTCTAAGCTGGGACTCGTTTGTGGCTTTGCCAACAGGTCAGTTCCAGGCTTAACACCACAGCCGTACCCTACTGGGCGGCTTCTCTTTTCTGTTCTCTTCTAACTGGTCAGTTTTCTGCCTTTCCTGGTTCAATTCTGGAAGCAAGCAGTCTGACCAGCTTAGCTGCCATTGTCACTTTTGAACATGTCCTAAGCTAGGCTGGTGCTTTAGTAAGTGCCTAAGGGTGGAGTAGATTTTGCTAGAATGGGCTGTTCGGAGTGACAGGCACTATAATGGATGGGTCTGACATACCAATCGTATGAATTCTTCCTTCAAGACCCAACTAATCTTTTTTTTCTCTCGAACAATCTCCGACCACCCCAGCCAGTGTATTCTCTTCCTTTTCCTTTTATAGCTGTTGTTATTATAGGCTGTTTGGAACTTGTTTTCTCTTTGTGTTCCTATAACTGTATTAGAGTGCAAGCTCCTTAAAAGTTGGGCTTGGGTCTTGCACATCTTTTGATTTTCTCCATATTTACCCTTCACAACATTATGAGCCAAGTCCTCTGAGATCTCTTAAACATAAACTGAATGGAATACATTCAAATGTCCTTCTCGTTTCAGGGGTTTTACATTCTGCCAGTTAAAAAGTCAGCATCAACCTGCAGAATGACCCCATCATTCAAAAGTATGGCTCTAAGAAAATGGGCTTGACCAACGCCTGCTCACTAAGGAGGAAATGAAAAGATTTCACTTTCCAGTACAAGGCTGGTTTGGATCTAATTTGATGTTGGTAACAATGTAAGAATATCTAGCAGTTTATTTTTTAAAAAATATATTTTATTGACTTTTTACAGAGAAGAAGGGAGAGGGATAGAGAGTTAGAAACATCGATGAGAGAGAAATATCGATCAGCTGCCTCCTGCACGCCCCCCAGTGGGGATGTGCCAGCAACCAAGGTACATGCCCTTGACTGGAATCAAACCTGGGACCCTTCAGTCCGCAGGCCGACGCTCTATCCATTGAGCCAAACCGGTTCGGCATAGCAGTTTATTTAAAAACACTAGAGGCCTGGTGCACAAAAATCTATGCACTCGGGGGGAGGAGGGGGTCCCTCAGCCCGGCCTGTGCCCTCTTGTAGTCTGGGACCCCTCGGAGGATGACCTGCTGGCGTAGGCCCGCTCCCAGGGGAATTGGGCCTAACCTAAGCTGGCAGTCAGACATACCTCTGGCAGCCCGGGAGCCCTCGGGGGATGTCCACTTGCCAGCAGGGAGCTGATGGCTGTTTGTAGGATGGTCCCCCAGTGGGGACCCTCACCCCATGGAGGTTTGGCCAGCCTGGATGAGGGGCTGATGGCTGTTTTCAGGCTTGCCACACCCCCTTTAGGGTCAGGGGTTCCTACTGGGCTGCCTGGCCAGTCTGGATGAGGGGCTGAGGGCGTTTTGCAGTCTGGCCAAGCCCCCGGGCGACGGAAGCTCCCAGCCTCTCCTTTTTTCTCTTCTTTTTTTATTCTGAGATTTATTTACCTTCTATAATTGAAACTTTGTAGCCTTGAGTGGAGCTCAGAGCTGGCCATAGCAGGCGGGAAGCTTGGCTTCCCCCATCACTGGAGCAACCAAGCCTCCTGCTTGCTCCAGCTCCGTGGCTGCCGGCAGCCATCTTGGTTGGGTTAATTTGCATACAGTTGCTCTGATTGGCTGGTGGGCGTGGCTTAAGGCATAGCAAAGGTATGGTCAATTTGCATGTTTGTCTTTTATTAGATTAGACTAGAGGCCCGGTGCACAAAAATTTGTGCACTCGGGGGGAAGGGGGGTCCCTCAGCCTGGCCTGTGTTCTCTCGCAGTCTGGGACCCCTCAGGGGATGACACCTGCTGGCTTAGGCCTGCTCCCTGGGGAATTGGGCCTAAGATGGCAATCAGACATCCCTCTGGCAGCCCAGCAGCCCTCAGGGGATGTCCACTTGCCAGCGGGGAGCAGGCCTAAGCTGCAGTCGGACATCCTTAGCGCTGCTGAGGAGGCAGGAGAGGCTCCCACCACCACCGCTGTACTGGCAGCCATCAGCCTGGCTTGTGCCTGAGCAGAGCTCCCCCATGTGGGAGTGCACTGACCACCAGAGGGCAGCTCCTGTATTGAGCGTCTGCCCCCTGGTGGTCAGTGTGTGTCATAGTGACCAGTCATTCCCAGTTTTTCTGCTGTTAGGGTCAGTTTGCATATTACCCTGTTACTACATAGAATAGAGGCCTGGTGCACGGGTGGGGACTGGCTGGTTTTCCCTGAAGGGTGTTCCGGATCAGGGTGGGGGTCCCGCTTGGGTGCCTGGCCAGCCTGGATGAGGGGCTGATGGCTGTTTGCAGCTGGTCACACCCCCTTCAGGGTGGGGGTCCCCACTGGGGTGCCTGGCCAGTCTGGGTGAGGGGCTGAGGGCCGTTTTCAGGCTGGCGGGTGACTGAAGCTCCCAACCTCTTTTTCTTTTCTTTTTTTTTATTTTTTTATTCTGGGATTTATTTATTTTCTATGGCTGTCACTGGAGCTGAGAGCCAGCTTTAGCTCTGAGGCTCGGCTCCAGCTCTGAGGCCTCCTCTGCTGAAAGCAGGTGTCTGGGCTTTGTTTAGCTTCTATAATTGAAACATTGTTGCAACTCCAGCTCAGAGGCCCGGCCTGCTGAAAGCAGGTTTCTGGGGATTGTTTATCTTCTATAATTGCAACATAGTTGCCTAGAGTGCAGCTCAGAGCTGGGCGGCGGCAGGCGGGGAACCTTGGCTTCTTCCGTCACTGGAGCAAGCAAGCCTCCTGTTCGCTTCAGCTGCCTGGCTGCTGGCCGCCATCTTGGTTGGCAGTTAATTTGCATATTGCCCTGATTAGCCAATGGGAAGCGTGTCAGAGGTACGGTTAATTACCATGTTTGTCTGTTATTAGATAGGATTACTGGTGAAAGTTCTTTTTTTTCTTTTAAATATATTTTATTGATTTTTTACAGAGAGGAAGGGAGAGAGATAGAGAGTTAGAAACATCGATGAGAGAGAAACATCGATCAGCTGCCTCCTGCACATTTCCCGCTGGGGATGTGCCTGCAACCCAGGTACATGCCTTTGACCGGAACTGAACCTGGGACCATTCAGTCTGCAGGCCGACGCTCTATCCACTGAGCCAAACCGGTTTCAGCATGAACGTTCTTTTTTGAGGGGCTGCTTTCCAAGTGACTTGTTCTATCTTCTTTTAATGGGGAATTGAAACATTTCCTACAGTGTAGGATGTGTACCATGGTTGATAAAGTGTTGAATTGAGGTAGTACATGAACATGACCTTAACTAGCATTGAAATATTTAATCTGAAAGTTATTCCTTTTTCAGTTTTCTTTCATTTCTTCTTAGTATATTAAAAAGTTAGTATGTCTTTAACACCTCTCCAATACTTCTAAGCCACCCCACCTCCATTTTCTTCAATGAATAGAGCAGGTCTGGGCTCAGCCTTGGTTGGTTATGTAGAAGGAATTGAATAAAAGTGATTTGATTTCTTTTTTAAAAATTTTATTTGTTAATCCTCACCTGAGGATATTTTTTCCATTGACAGAAAGAGTGGAAGTAAGTGTGGTTGAGAGAGAGAGAAAAACATTGATGTAAGAGAGACATGTGGATTGGTTGCCTCCTGCACCTGCTGGGGATCCAACCTGCAACCCAGGTAGGTTCCTATGACCAGGAATCGAACCCAAGACCCTTTGATGCACAGGCCAACACTCTATCCATCGAGCATCACTGGCCAGTGCTCATTTTATTTTATTACCTCTTAATCACAACAGTGATGTTAAATTTCTGTGTGTGTGTGTTTTTAATAAAACAGCTCTGTTGAAATATAATTAACCTACCATACAATTCACCCACTTAAAGTCTACAGTTCAAATAAATAAAAGTACACAGTTTAATAGTTTTTACTATGTTTTTCAAGAGTTTTATAGCCATCACCACACTCAACTTTAGGATACTTTCATCACCCCCAAAGAAACACCATACTATTGTTTCTCCCACAATGCCCTTGGCCCTAGTCAACCACTAATCTACTTTCTTTCTTTCTTTTTTTCTAGAGAGGAAGGGAGAGGGATAGAGAGTTAGAAACATTGATGAGAGAGAAACATTGATCAGCTGCCTCCTGCACACCCCCTACTGGGAATGTGCACGCAACCAAGGTACATGCCCTTGACCGGAATCAAACCTGGAACCCTTGAGTCCGCAGGTCGACACTCTGTCCACTCAGCCAAACAGGTTAGGGCACACTAATCTACTTTCTGTCTAGATTTACCTCCTGTGAACATTTCGTGTAAATGGAATCGTTGTCTTTTGTGACTGGCTTTTTTCATTTAACATGAAGTTTCAAGGTTCATCCATGTTGTAACATGTATCAGTACTTCATTTATTTTCATTCTCAGTCTATCTGATGTAGGAATATGCCACATTTGATTCATTTGTTCATCAGTTGGTGGACATTGGGGTTGTTTCCGCTTTTTGGCTTTTATGAGTGAGTAATGCCGCTGTGGACATTTAGGTGCTAGTTTTTGTTTGGACATATGTTTTCATTTTTCTTGGGTATATATTATACCAAGGAGTGGCACTGCTGGGTCACTGAGTAACTGTGTGTTGAACCTTTTGAGGAACTACCAGACTATTTTCCAAAGGAGCTGCGCTGTTTCCCACTCCCACCAGCAGTGGGTGAGGGTTGCAATTTCTGCACATTCTTACCAACACTTATTATTCTCTGTCCTTTTTATTACACTCTTTGTAGTGGGTGTGAAGTAGTATCATTGTGGTTTTGATTTGCAGTTCTCTGATGGCTGATGATGTTAACCATCTACCTTTTCCTCTGCTTATTGGAAATCTTTTCAGATCCTGTGTCCATTTTAAAAAATATATATTTTTATTGATTTCAGAGAGGAAGGGAGAGGGAGAGATAGAAACATTAGTGGGGAGAGAGAATCATTGATTGGCTGCCTCCTGCACGCCCCCCACTGGGGATTGACTCTGCAACCTGGGCATGTGCCCTGACCGGGAATCGAACCGTGACCTCCTGGTTCATAGGTCGATGCTCAACCATAGAGACGCAGCTGGGCCTGTGTCCATTTTCTAAAAATATTTTTTAATTTTATTGATTTTTTTAGGGAGAGGGATAGAGATAGAAACATCAATGCAGTTCTCTGATGGCTGATGATGTTGACTATCTTTTCCTCTGCTTATTGGCCATTTGCATATCTTTTCAGATTCTGTGTATATTTTTTTAAAAAATATTTATTTTGATTTTTAGGGAGAGGAATAGAGAGATAGAAACATCAAGGAGAGAGAAATATTGATTGGCTGCCTCCTACATGCCCCCATGGGGGATCAAGCTTGCAACCCGGGCATGTGCCCTGACTGGGAATTGAAAGAATGACCAATTGGTTCATGGGTGGATGCTCAACCTCTGAGCTAGAGCCTGACCTGTGTCCATTTTTTAATTGGGCTGTCTATTATTAGTTTTGAGTTATTAGAGATCTTTATATATTCTGGAAACAAATTTCCTTTTAAGGTTAATTTATTTAAGTGAAAAAGCTCTCTGTAAAATGGTTTATATACATAGGATTTCCATGAGGCGGGGATTGGGTGGGGTGGGGCGGGTGCTCACCCTGGTGCCCTGCCTCCGGCCCAGCGAGCAGGGAAGGAGACTGCACTGCCCGCCTTTTATTGAGTTAGGGTGCATAACAGTTCAGCCTAGGCCCGTGGCTGAACTTCTGTAGGGAGTTTTCAGGCTATACTTCAGAAAATGGAAGCACATTTCTAGACAGAGATTTCAGAGAGATTTTCAGGGTAGAGTTGGGTGCAGGGTGCACTGGTGAATATTACATAAACCTTTTGCTTATCATGAAATCCTTTTAGATTTCTGCTAGTACAGAATCTCATCCCCCCTTTTTCTTGCTTGGTTTAGAAAAGAAAAATGCCACATCAAGTCATTTGCATGCTTTATTCATCCTTCCTTGGAAATGGTCTAGTGACTGGATTTAGCCATAATTTAGTTATAATCTCTTTTCTAATAGGAGGAAGAATTGTTACTTGGTAACTGTCAGGAAGTCCAGGCATGCCCTAGTCTTTCCTATAACAGCAACCTACATTACCCTCCCAGAATCTGAAAGTCAGTGGAGGAAAACTTGAAGACAGATTGTCTCTTATTTAATCTACTCGTGACCAGGTGCACAGATTCGTGCACGTTGAAAGGAAATGAATTAGAAGGTGGCCGGTGGGGCAGGACTGGGCGAGATGGGCTGGACACACCCTGGAGTCAACCTTCCATGGTCCCTCCCTGGCCAGCCGCACCTGGGGTGGCGCCATGGCTCGAAGGGCATCTGCAGAGTGAGTGGGGTCCCTCGGCCTGGCCTGCAGGGATCAGACTGAAATCAGCTCCCTGAAATCCCTCGAGGGGTCCCGGAGTGCAAGAGGGCACGCTGCAAAGCAGCTGTGGTACAGGGTGTGGAACGCAAATGCAAGTGTGCAGTAACCAGATTCAGGGCCGACAGTGTCCCAGCAACAACATAACCCACGGCCGGAGGTGGAATCACGCGGTCCCATGAGGAATCGGGCTCCCTTTTTTTTGGTTTTGGGGTGTGTCACCCGAGAATCGCTGCTGCCAAATTACTGCAGCTCGGCAGCTCCTGCGTTGAGCGTCTGTCCCGATGGTCAGTGTGTGTCATAGCGACTGGTTGGACAGTCGGACACTTAGCGTGTTAGCCTTTTATATGTATATATATATAGATAGATATATAGATAGATAGATTTAGATATTTCAAGTGTCTCACTTAAAGAATGTGTCCAGCAAATGTGTTATTTCAGCTTTCCCAAGGGGAGCCTAACGATATTTACCATCTCTGGTTCTAAAGACAATATCTTATTCCCTTTCCTCCTAGGTTTTCCTGAGTGTGCAAACTTTGTACCTACCAAATGTAATGGTTCTGTAACAGACAAAAGTTGGTCCTCTCTTTGGACTTGACTGTGAAATGGTAAGTACTTTTTCAACTGGAGTATTGCAAACTGGGGTCTAGTCTATGATGTCTTGAGTCGAATGCACCAGTGAACCAGTGCATTCAGTTCCAGGATCATTTTCAATAACTGAAAGCAGACCCTTTCACTTACATTTTAGAAAACGTAGATCTATGCTCTAGGATGAAGACCAAATATCACATAACTTTTCTCTAGTTGCTATGTTAATGAAACCTTTGTACATTACTCCTGTCTTTTGACCAAGTGCTTTGTTTTCTTGGAGCCTTTGCCTCACTCATAATCAGTTAGGCTTAGTTTTGTACATTTAAGATCCGAAGTAGGATTTCCCTGCTTAAGCTCCCTTGTGTTTTACTTTTCCTAATTAGTAAGTCACCCTTCAATGACATTGCAACCCGTCACACAGTGTGTAGATGACAGTTTCTCAGTTCTTAACCGAGTGGCCAAGAGCTAAAGTTTCTGAGTCTGTCCTATCACGGTGTGTTCCTGGCTTTGCCTGTTGATGGCTGTGTCATCTTGGACAAATTCTCTAACCTCCTCAGCCTCAGCTTTTTTCTCTGGAGTGAGGATGACAATAGAGGCTACTGCAAAGGATTATTGTGAGGTGGTGTAACACAATGGCTGAGTCCTGCATAGATGATAATACAGTGTGCTAATATATAATAACTTATTAGTGGTACTTAGCAGAATACTGGGATGAAGTATACATTCAATAAATGATAGTTATGATTGATGTTATTACCATTTGTCTTCCTTAAGCACATCCTCCCCAGAGAAATTGTACTGTGTTGGTCACCTTAAGTATAATGCTCAGCAGCCTGCCTACCTTTAATTTCATTCAGAATGGATCCTCGGGTCAGCAAAAGACTGCTGTTGTCACAGGGACCCCAGTAGATGAGGGTAGGTGGCAGCTGACAGCCTGGATAACGGCCGTGTCACAGTTCCACAGTGCCTCAGCCTGCCTACGTCCTGGTCTTTCAGTGCCTCCCGAGGGGGAGAGAGCGAACGTGCATCTCACTTGTTGCTGGAGGAGTGGCTGTGTTATGCATGAACGTGTTAAACCTGACCAAAAGATTTTGGACTACCTCACCGGGTAATTTCCCCCTTCCCCTTAGCTTTCCCTAGAGCTGTCAGACTAAAGTGGAATGAGCCTTCACAGAAGAGCCTGTAGCTTCTCTTTCGTTAGGTCTGACCTACTTATATATTATCAACGAAAAGGCTGGGGCACCACGACTGCAAATTTGAATCCTGAAATTGCACAGTGCCAGCGTCTAATGCCATTACCCTCCTTGCTCTCTAATCTTCCCGTGACCTCAAATCAACAGACTATTACCTTCCTTGTCATAGAATTCCTTAGTTGTAACCATTATCTAGCAACTGCCAAACCGCTGGAGCTTTGCTTTCTGATAAGACCTCATCTGAAGAATCTATAAATCGCCATTGGGCATTCAAATGACCTAAGAGGTTAGTCTGACCTGACCTCAAAAGCCCAAACAAAACCAAGTGTTTTCATAACAAATTTGAAGCTAAAAGATCTTTATTTTTTCAGAGATGAGCATGTAACATCACATGTACACAATACAGTGATTAGGCAGAGAAAAGCCAATGGAGCCTTTCTCCTTCTGCCCACTGCAGTTGCAGTTACAGATCCATGCTCACAGAGGCACCAAGAGGCCATCATGATGGCAAAGACTGTCCTGGGTCCTGGCCGGTAGCTCGGTGGGAGCGTTGCCCCATGTGCCGGGGTTGCGCGTTGGATCCCTGGTCAGGGCACATACAAGAATCAGCCAATGATGCATAATTAAAGTGAAACAGCAAATCTGTTTCTCGTTCTCTCTCTCCAAAAGTCAGTAACATTTTAAGAAAGACTGTTAGCAGACAGGAAAATTAGACAGCATTCATAGAGAACAGTCATGGTACGTGTAAATGTGTTTGTCACAGAATTGCAAAATCGGGGGATATCTGAAAAGTAGGGGATTGGTTAAATAAAATATGGTAATATCCATATAATGGAATATTCTGTACCTTTTTAAAAGGATGTGCTGAAATAGGTTTATTGATGTGAAAACTTGTTCATGATATACGGCAAATGATAAAATCATGTTATTAAAGTAGCATATGCATTTTTACGATTTTTTTTCTTGTGTGTGCCCTGACCGGGGAGCGAACCCATAACCTTGGTGTATCATTGGGACTGTTAGAAATTCTCTCACCTATGTTGCAGGAATGACACTAACACTTGAAACTGGGCTGGCAAGGCGAATTCACTCCTGCACAGTAGGGTGCTGGTGCAGCTGAAGTGATGAGGCAGCACATGTCCAGTAGGGTTTCATTTCCTGACTCAGGTCTGCCTTGCCCCTCACTCTGATCTCTAACTTGATTGGTGAGGGCTCAAAGCTCAGGTCCCCATTATTGCGCGATTGGCTAATTCAGAGGAAGGGGAGGGGTAAGACAGAGCCTAAGATGGCCTCTCCTGAGGGTCTGATGGTCATGTCACTGTGGCTCCATATGCTTTCCACAGGCTGCACTCCCACCAACAGTGCAGAGGGCTCCCTTTCACCGCCTCCTCACCGGCACTGGCTTGTGGATTTGTTGATGGTCACCACTCTGACCATTGTGAGGGGATATCTCATCATGGTCTCAATTTGCATCTCTCTGATTAATGACGGTGAGTATCTTATATGTGTGTTGACCATCTGTATGTTCTCTTTGGAGAATTGTCTATTCCTGTCTTTTGCCCATTTTTAAATTGGATTATTTTGGTGTTGAGTTTTATAATTTTGGCTATTAATCCCTTATCAGATATATCATTGATACATATGTTCTCCCATTGTGGGTTGACTTTTCCTTTGCTGAGAAAAAACTCTTTAGTTTGATGCGTGCATTACTGCCAGAAGCGCAGCGCACCTCTAGACCAGGCTGCCCAACCCGAATCCTGCTTTCCTAGATTCTGCTGTATAACCTCATCTCAGTGCTGGGGATAATGACCCAGATCTCACAGGACCGCTGTGAAGGTGAGAGCATGCACTCACAACACGTGTTGTATAAAGTATGGAGGTTAGAGAAGAGTGTGTTTATGTAGAAGGAAATATGCAAGAACATGCATAGGCTTGGAACAAAAACTGGGCAGACTATAAGCCAAGATTATCACAGTATTTATCTCTGGTTATGGGATCGGCAGATTAAGTTTTACCCAATGTTTTTCTGTGCGTAGCATCAGTATAGTGCTTTTATAATTAGAAAAAAAACTCTACTCAAAATTAACTGTCAAGTTTGGGCATTTGAGGCAGTGTTTAACCCTTTACATGGAACTTCTCAGGGACCTGGCCCTGTGGAAGTTGGGAGCCAGGAGCCAAACTGAAGGGCTGGATTTGGGTTGAGACACTGCAACTTGGAGCTCCTTGGAGAGGCAGGTTCCCGGGCACAGTGCCCGCTGCAGCCCTGAGAGCACTGATGCCAGCAGCTCTGCTGGGCTCCTGCCCGCTGGCCTCCAAAGCAATGGGAGCTGGGCTGCCGCGTCCCTCTGGAGAAGCTAGACCTGGGGACGCGAGTGTCTGCCTTTGGGTGTGGACAGGCCTGGCTGGTGCTTCAGCTACACTCCTGAGAGAGGCACTTAACCTCGTTTGAGTCCATTTCCTCAGCTGTATAAAATGAGAATGTCATACTTTCAAGAATTATTGTAAAAATTTAAAGCTCGTTTGTGGAAATTGACAGAATAGTGTGCTATAGGAATTATTTTCCCTCTCTGAGCCTCCGTTTCCTCACGTTTACAAAGGGACATTAATACCTACTTCACAAATGATGGGAAGCCCGCCTTGTCAGTAAGGCACACTATACTGGATCCTCTTCCACGTATGAGAGCACAGCACGTTAGAGCTCCCTCTGCTCCCAGGACTAGCCTGGCAGTAGCAGGCAGTTTCCTTCTGGATTGGGGATCGGAGGTCCCTCATGGGCCCCGGCTCCAGAACTCTGCAGAAATGGGCAGGACCACAGACCTCTGGGGTCCTAGTTTGTACACACTCTCTCACGGACACTCCCACCTTTTGGAAGCCAAGGCTGCCTCTTGCAAAACACACATTCCACACCTAAGGGCATCTGTGCATTTCCTCTCCCACACCCTCTGGACGGCCATGCCCAGCTGCCAAGGCGGCTGCTGGAGGGCGTTCACAGAACTCTTCTGGCCTCCTCACCGCAGTGGGGTTGTTCAGGGCACTCGGCCATGGTCATCTCCCTTTCCTTTTGCGCCTTTTTGTAAATAACCTCTTCCCTATTATAAGGAAACCCATTAATGAAGACTTGAAAAATACAAGTTAAAATCACATCTAGTCCCACCCGAGTTGACTGTCACTATTTTACCATTTTCTGTCATACTTTCCCATTATTCAAAAGCAGAGTTGTTAATAGCGGCCGATATTCCAACACGTTGCCGTGCGCCCATTGCTAACCGTTCCCTGTGCCGCGGAAGTGGATCCCGAGTGAGGCTGCCACTACGTCTGCGCCCCTGCATCTCTGGCACATACTGTATCGTGAAAAATCCCTAGAAGTGAAATTATTGGGTTAAAGAGTAGGAACACATAAGGTTTTTTTTTTGATTCCAGAAAAGTTTTTCATGGACATGTTTCAAATATTTGCCAATTTGATAAGCCAACAATAGTTTTCATCATAGGTTTACTTTCTGGGTTTTCTGAATACCCTTTAGATATGTATCTATGATTTGTTCCAGAAGCTTTTTGACTGTTTTTCTTCAGTGAGTTATCAATATCCTTTGCCCATATTTTAGTTAAGTACTTTTCCATACTGAGTTTTTAAGGTCTAACGGATTGTGTCTATCTGTCAATTGCAAAAATGTTTCCAATTTGTTTAAGTTTTAGAAGTTTGTTCTTTTATGATTTCTTCCTTCCCTATTTTGCTTAGATAGTCTTGATACAGAGATCAATTTAATACCAACAAGTATATACATTTTTAATGGTTAAACTTACTATGGCATATCTTTATTCCTTCTGGAATTTATTTTGGCTGTGACAACTCTTCCCCAAATATTTAGATTTTACCCAATTACCTATCTTTACTTACCCATTAAAACAAAATGCCTCCTTTATTATGTAAGTCCATGTATACAAGAGCCTGTGTCGTATTTTTCTTGCCTTGTCATACACTAGTTCCACATTATTCTGTAGCTTCATATTTTAATTTACTAGCAATTTCAGTAGCACCTCCCAAAATAAACACAGGCAGGGCCCATGGAGCGTCCCCATCAGTATGGGGATTATGAAACACGATCTTTAGATGCGTGGCTGCTGACGGCACTGCCGCCATATTCCACTAGGCCTTTCTAAAGTTCAAACCAGGGAAGGGCCTTATGGCTTTCCTAAGACAGGGCATCCTCAGGAATCAGAGCAAAGGAAAGGAAATGGAAGGATTAGCCTGGCTCCTGGCCTTCCCTTCCCTTCCCAGGCAGACCAAGCCTTCTGGTCCTAGAGCTAGAGAATGGCTTCCGGTCAGCTCAGGCATTGCCTTGGCTGGACTGAGGAGGGGCGCGGCCAGGGCGCAGCGACTGATGGACTCAGCACCACTGCAGTGTGTGCTAGTGCGCCTTTCTTGCTAGAAAAAGTCCACTGCAGTTAAGCTCATCTGATAATTGTGTGCAGAAGCTGCTTGCCCATCACTGAACTGAAATGTGTATTTCAGCAACTACACTTTGAGTAGTTCTGGGCTCTGTACAAGCACTTAATTCTTCACTTTATTCCCCACACCTCAATTTGTAAGGCCTGGTGTGTGTGTGGGAAGGAGGGGGCATGTGCAGAAGACAGGAGCCCAGGAACGAAATGAGTACATGCTCTGGAGGTTTACTTTTCAAATGAGGGGAAAAACCACCCTCTAGATTTCCTTCCAAACTCAACCTGGAGGAAAAATCCCAGCTCACTGAGAAAACTTCATAACCCTCTTCTTAGCTGGAGAGGACACAGCCCTGACTCCCAGCCCCTTCCCACCAGGAAGGAAAAGGAAAAGCACTCTCACCCCACCACTGCACCGAACTGATTTTAGGAGATGCCAACAGGAGGCTGGCAATCTTTGGGAAGGCCACTAGGGACTCCTTCCCTGAATATAAACAGGAACCAGACAGAAAACACACTGAAAGGAGGCGAAAGGCATGAGCAGTCTGCCCTAGTCAGACTCCTATGTAAGAGCCAGACAGGACATCAGGAATCATGCTAGCCTAAGCCAGTGGTTCTCAACCTTCCTGATGCCGCGACCCTTTAATACAGTTCCTCATGTTGTGGTGACCCCCAATTTCATTGCTACAAATTGAACATAATTAAAGCATAGTGATTAATCAGAAAAACAACATGTAATTGTATGTGTTTTCTGATGGTCTTAGGCAACCCCTGTGAAAGGGTTGTTTGACCCCCAAAGGGGTTGCGACCCACAGGTTGAGAACCGCTGGTCTAAGCCTTCCATCTCCCCCAAATCTGGCAGAGGGGAGTCAGGCTATAAGGGGGCAGTGGCCTGGGCATGTGTGCCATGATCCTGGATCCTGGATTCCCTGATGACTCACCTGACATCCTTTCAGAAACCTTAGACTTATGCTTTATAAACACTTCCTGTGTAAAGCCTAACACTAACGGAAATAACAGTCTTCTGATTTCACAGATGAGAAAAAGGAAACCGATTTCACTCACCTGACATAGGTAACCCAGCAGCGGCACCTGACAGTTCAGCTGGTCTCTTTTGCCTCAATCACTGCCAACATGGCAGCCACCCATTCAGCACAGAGCTCAAACTTACTTCTTATTCCTCATGGGAACCCAGCCATTTGCTGAGGTCAGACTTATTTAGGGAGTGGCCATGAGGGCTTGTTTGCTTTTGCCTGAAATACTGGGACCCCAAAGGCAATGAACTCGGTGAGTGGGAGCGTCTGGGTCCTATACTATCTGGACTTTCCTAAGCACAGGAACTGCTATCCAATATCACGTTGGAAGAGCTTCCAGGGGTAAATCTTGCCCAAGAATAAAGCCAGTTTTTTTATTGTTTTTTCCAGAACTGTCAAGTAAACAAATTTATTAAAAGCAACAGCAGGTAACCTTCCAAATAAAAGACCATCAAAAGAAATAATGTAGACAAAGACAAAAAATGTGTGTAACAAGTTAATAAAAATATTCAGTGGGCCATTTGGAGAGCATAACAGTGCAGAGAATACAAACAAAAGTTTTGATTTCGGTCAACAAGTTTGTACAACCTCAAGAAACACACTGATCACAAACCAAGAGGAATCCACAAAGGTGGAGGGTCACGTGAGTAGTGGACTCATCACCTCAGCGGGGTAAGGCAGGGTGTCGTAGACCAACTCACCCAAGCCCCCTTTGCCTACTGCTTCAAATTCCCCCTGTGAAACCTAGAATCATTCATTAGTGCAACGGGTACGAGCAATTAATCCCAGACTCTGGGCTGGGACCAGGTCAGAGGGAAGACACTTTTCCCAGAATAAATGAATGCTGGGGGAACCCCAGCAGCTGAACGGCTTCCTTTGGCAATATCCAAGACCTGTGCTGGAAGTGGGGAGGGAGTGGGCAGTGAAAGTGGGAAGTGCGAGAGTAGGCTGAGCTTCCAAGAGGAGCAGGGAGGATGTGATGGCCAGCACCTGATCTGAAACAGCACCTAATGGCCACTCAAAGCCATCGGAACCATCTTGGTTGCTGAACCAGAGCTCAAGCATGTTTTGTCCCTCAGTATGGAAAACACCTCTAGAGCCTCCCTGACAGGCAGGTTACACTAAATAAATGCCACAATTACAGCTTCCCATAGGAATCAGCTGCAGGGAGGGGTGGGAACCCCCCAGTACGATTCAGAAAAACAGACTGGAGGACAAGGGGGCAATTGCACATGTCCTCAAATGCGTCCCAAAGTACACTTGACAAATCACTATGTGATGACTGTGCAGAGTCCTTTCAGCTGGCATCCGTTACCAAGACGGTTAAGTCCTACTAACCAGAGATGCAAGAAAAATGGAAACACAGGCAGCTAACAAAACTAGCCTGGTAGCACTCCCTCCAGCCTCACCTAGTAATTGTGTAACTGGGTCTACTTCTGGGCTGCATTGCACTGAAGACACTTTCAGTGCAGCATACACACAGTGCTAAGTACAGATCTGCTTTCGTTTTTAAGCTTTTAGACCCAAGTCCTTATCCCAGTAACTCCCCACCTCTGTTTAACACAATCTGGCCGAGTCTAATATATGAGGCCACCTGAACTGTGGAGTCCCACTCCTGGGCGCCCAGGACTGTTTTAGAGACCGACTAATACTGCGTGGCATTGAGGACAATGCCTGTATATCTTCAACTGGATTTCCTCGACCTGGGAGCTTGGTTGAAATTTGGATCTTCACTCAGCTCTAGATTTTCTTACCAAAATTCGGTATGGAGTCTTGGAACCAACTCATACAAGTGGGTGCATTCAGCATGGATGAGGGGGCACTGCTGAGCCTCATTACAGGAGGCCGGATTAACGATATATTCAAATGTGCAGGGATGGGGAAGAGCAACTCCATGAAGTAACACCATCTCATACAGCTTACTAATTGCTAAAGAAACGGCACAGAAGCTCACAAAACCGTTTGCCAAAACCAGCTCATTTTAATTCAGTTTGTAGTTGCCCTCAGATCTTTGCCTATTTTCAAAATGGCATCCGCATCCTGCCCTCTCCACACCTGCCCCCTGGTGGAGGCAAGGCTGCCCTGGCTTGGCTGAGGGGCCTGCATTTGGCCTCTTC